AACAGCCTTTCTTTATTCTCGGTTTTCCAAGTAGTTTAAGTTTAGTTCAAAGCAATGAGATTTTCATGTCTTCGAAAAAATCCCTGAAATACACGACATTTCAAAAATTCCATAATCGTCTTAAATCTTTTCGTCGAACATCTAAGGGAATAACAAGGACTGTGAGTAAAACACGAGTAGGTAGTATATATAAATAAAATGTGAATTTTATATAAATAGTTTGTAACTGAACAGATATTTAAAATAGTGGATATTTAAAACAACGATATCATTAAAAGTATATATAATAATTATAAAATAAAATTTACACATTATTTGGCTGTAATATAAAAAAAATATATCCATAAATAATATTTTAATATCTTGTATTAATATTTATAGTACTTAGACGTAAGGTGTGTATATAATTTATCATTACAAGAACTTAGTCACTATATAATTTATACTAAATATCAAAAGAAAGAATAATATTTACTTGGTATTGAATTATGCTCGATATTTGAGTAATTTACGTCTAAAAGGTTAAATTCGTTATAAAATTTAACAGCAATTTTAGAAAAGTTACGCAGTTTGTTTATACTAAATCCATGGACAGCTGTTAAATTTGTTACAATGGTTTTTATTACGGAATTGAGTTTTCAATAGGGCGAAAGGGGTAGATATATTAGAAATAAATATTATTATGAATACGTAATATATTTCATTAATTTTCTAAATGAGTCTGGAAATACGATACGTTTATTTAGTTTTCGTTTTATTTTAAATACATTAAAAACTCAAAAATTACTTAACTGATTTTAACAATTCTTTCTACATAATCAGCACGGTTTTTTTTTACTAACAGTTTGTGTTCTAAAAAGAATCATGTGAAGCCTGGTGGACCGCTAGTCTTTCATAAAATACGTTTCGTATCAATAATTCGTATCTATGAATTTTGAATTATACGCTTTACTTGTGAGAGAGATAATTATGTAAACTGTTCACTAAATCAGCTAGTATAATAATACCTACATCAAAAGTTATCTGAGAAGTTCGTGCACTGTATAAGCTGTCAGCCACTCAGAAACTTATTTCACACCCCAGACACTTCATACAAAAAAGGCGTGATTTTATTTAGTTTGAGGCTGTTACTACTAACATAAACAGATGACGTTTGTATATCCACAAATGTGTGTATCTCCACATTTTTCGCTGAAATGTAGGTTCTTCTTTTGAATGGACATATTTGACTTACAGAAAGGGATGGAGGTCAGTTTGTGAGAGGGACAGAGAATCGTCTTCATATAGTGGTTTATCGCCCATAGAAATCTCTTGTCATGCCATATTCGTTGTAAGGTTTGTCACATTTATTTTTAACCGGCTTCAAAACGAGGAAATTCTCAATTTGAATATTCTTGTTTTCACAGGTTCGATATGAATAATGTTTCTAAATAATATTGCGTTGCGAATTTCTAATTTCTACTCTTGAATATTCTAAATTATAACCTCTTATTTCGACTAAATTCTAAATTTAATAAAATTCGAAATTCGACTTGACTCGACCAAATTAGTAAATTAGTTTAATTAAGTTCAGTTGAGTTGAATTGAGTCCATTCGCTATAAATTTTTGGACAAGTTTGGCAGTTTATTCAATTTTTTTTAATGGATGAAATAGAATGGAAACCCCGTCTGCGCTATCGATATACGCTGGCGGGATATTAGTGAGGGATGGTAGGTTCTCTCCTATCGTATTCATCCTAATGAAACAGTTCATTTGGCCCATCGTGACAAAGTCAACAATAAATTAATTACGATGGTTTTCAAGGGTAACCGTTTGGAGATTGATCTGATACAATATACTTATATATTATACCCATATTGCTACTCGTAACAATGGGCTTGCTAATCCCCATTACTAGTGAAAAAAGGACTTATTGTCAGCAATGCACCCAATTAGGTTGACCTCAGCGCGGTTCCACCACGATGGTTTCCAGGGGGAACCGCGATGAAAAAAAATCTAATTTGACTAATGTGGGCTAATTTTTATCATTTAAATCGAGTTTCGTATAGTTTGGCCATTTTGGTTCAATATGGTCAAGGTTGGCCAAGTATGATCAAGTTTGGTTAAGTTAATTCTTCTTTAATAGAAGAAGATTGCTTTGAAAATAAATATCATAACAATTTAGCAAAGATTGGTCAAACTTGTATAAAATTATTCAAAAGTTATTGAAATATCATCTTTATATTTCAATAATTTTTCAACACATATATATACACAATCCTCAGTTGTGTTTGTGTATGAACGCTACTAAGGTAGTGTAAGGTTATTTAGTTGCAAAAGGAACTAAATAACCTTACACTACCTTAGTAGCTGCGGGTTTCAATAAATAATCTTGTTATATAATAATTACTACTTTAATTTAAATGTTAATTGAAAGTTAATAGGTTTTGTTCATTTACGGTCGTACTACTTTCAAATAATTCCAAATAAATGTGATTACAGTTGGAAATCCTCCATAACTCGTTAAAAAGCACTCTGTTTCAGCAATCTTTCACAATTAACAACTACATTAATATAACCCAAGATTAATGCTTGGATAAAATATAGCTGGGATGTGTTGTTTTGTTTCTATATTTTTCAAGTGACTTCAAAAATGAAGTGTATATTATGCGATATTTTTTTGCCAATTATTGTTTAATTAATTTTATTGACCCTAATTAAATAAATTACTTTCTTTCTTTTAATTGTGAATCAGTATAATAATGCTTCTCATGATATAAAGTACCAATTACATTCTAAATTAGGATATAACCTATCCGGGAACAAAATTTCATTCAAATCCATTCATAGTCTTAGCATAAAAGAGTAACAAACATTTATCCATTCTTACAAAATTATGCATTTATGATAATAGTAGTATTACTACATTCAACTTATGCTAATTTTGATAGAAAATTCGTTACATAAATTTTTGTATTAATTGTTATTTAAAATCAGAAGTAAAACTGGGTACTTTATGGATTTGTCATACAATTTAATTATTAGGACTGGAGACAAATGGAACAATAAAATACTTAATGAAATTTTTATAGTAATTATGAAAAATTAACAGTTAACTAAATCTGTTGAAATTCAGGACTTCGTGGATGTGATAACTAGGTAACGTTTTGTTATTAAAATTTATAAATTTAAAATTCTTAGTACGAACAGCATTATGTTGTGATATTTTTAGTTTAAGAGTTACAATATAATGCTCTCGTTCATTGTTGCATTCTGTCTTAAGAACTCCAACTATTTCATAGATAATAGGTACGATAATATGCCGTGCATGAATAAGAAAAGTAATATTGCAGTAAATGTGTAACATAATAATATACGTAGATATAGGAAAAGATGATTTTGGTTGTGAGTATTGATGAATATAAACTCGAACAGCTATATTAAAAAGCTAGAATCAGAGAAAGTCGAAAGATGAAAGAAGAAGAAAGTATTTAATAATACAGCCGAAAGAACTTTGGTTTCTCAAAGAACTTGATTATGTTTTCCTGTTTCTTTAATACGTATATTCGTTGGTCATCGTTCTCTACAGATGAAATTCTTAGGACTCCTAAATTAAATATACCATTGTGAAGAAAATAAATAATACTCTAAGCCGTGTAAATACTCAAAGCAGCTAAATGAGAGGCTGTAAAATTGAAGTAAAAAATGGCAGTAAATATTGTTGCCTGGGGCGGAAAAATAATTATTTCGGGCATTGGATTGCCCATATCTTGCCTTTTCCAATAAGATGAGGACGTCGGGGCCAATTCTGTGAGATCATTTCTTACTTCTTAACATAATACTTTAATTTGATAATTGTACAAAATTATCGTTTTATGGACCAGTACAAACTATTTAGTTTAAAATAATTTTGACTTAAATCTATTAAAAATTTATTAGAAATTTAGTTCATATTGTTTCTTAGAATAAAAATTTCGCTGTGCAAATTTTAATTAGAGAAACAGGTTTAGAGAAATGCCGTCTCTGAATTGACCCAATTGAGCTACGATTAGCAATCTAGCCAAACGGTCCTACCTGCCCACATACAGATATTTTCTTTCTTTAATTGGTGCATTATGTGTCGTTCTAATCAGCATTCATGCTATCCTAGAGATAAAAAGGAGTTGTATAAGAGATGAAAGGTCGTATTCTTGCTTCGTTTTCATTGAAAATGGGTATGTACTTATATGTACATAAAGAAAACGGAGTCTTCCGTAGAATATTCTCTTTATTGCCTTACAAGTAATTTGTTAGCTCCGAGGGACCCCCGATAGTGAGGAATGTTTTCAGACACTACTTGTTTTGTTTACTTGTCAAAACCATTTGTATTTGTCGTGAGTGTTAGTGATAGGCCTATTTTGTTTTACTACACGTTTATTTATCATTATTAGTTATTGTTTAACTGTATATAGCGTTAATTATTGTTTCTATTATTTCCTATTATACTTATTCTTTCTTTCTTTATTCTTTATTGTTTTTTATTTATTATTATTATTATTTATTATCTAACAATACATATTTCTATTATTTCGTTATAGAGGAATATATATGAACAGTATAGATAGATAGATACTCTTTATTTTTTTCAAAAGATTACAGTGATAAACTTAGATTCACAGACAACTGTCTGTGAGTCTAATTTTATCACTGTAATCTTCATAAAATTACACATATTTTCATAAAATTACATGGGTTCTGTGGTCTAATATCATAAAGAAGTCCGATGTGTCGTACGATAGTTCAAAACAAAAAGTGACAATATATATCTTTAATTATGAAAAAATTTTGGTATAGTACGTTGTACTAAATCTATAGTATATACATACAGTTGGTACACGAATGTTTACGCTACCTCATGGATGAGAAAGAACCACCGAATGTGTTGTTTCGTTTCCTGCCCATGCTCTGACCACCTGTGTGTGCATGTTTTAAATATCAATTCCAGAGAATAAACGAGTATATGCATGAGTAATTGTTTTAGGTATGCACAATTGGAGTAATAGCGAATACTATGAATGTAGCGGTGCTGACTCGGAGAGACATGGCGGCGGCACCAATTAACAGACTTCTCAAATGGCTTGCGGTCGCTGATGTCTTTGTCATGTTGGAATACGTGCCTTTCGTCATATACAGATATTTGGTAAGTCCATATTACAATTTACAATAAAATTTTAAAAAGTAATACATACCACTAATAGAAAATACTTAGTTTTTACCAGAGGGAGACTTTGTACAAAAGTTGATTACTTGAGTACCTCTGTCCCATTCGTGTTTCTACTGTGAAGCAGTTGTGTTTGCATGGCTGTGTTTCGATTTGAAGGGTGGGATATGGCGTGAATTTACAGGGTACAGAGGAATAACACCTGAGCCCTCAGGAATGACAACGCATGGGGGGTATCATGGGCGAAACAGTATATTCTGTTATATCCATGGTACTGCTCATGTCTATAGGCGACGGTTACCACTTTCCATTAGGTGGGCCGTCAGCTTGTTTGCCATTCTAAGTCATATAAAAAAAAGTTAGTTATTGTCACTTCTTATCTTTGTTATTATTATTAAATTACTTGTACAACAGTGGGTATCACATATCATATAAGTAACATAATCATTCGAATTGTTAGTTGTGCATTGCTGAAAATAGATCTCCCCCACAGATTTCTGCAATACAATCCTGAGCAACCTACATTGTATTGTATTGTCTTCTAAAATTTATATACAAGTTCAGACTCAGCAGTATCATCTGTGAATAACAATCCATTAACATGCCACTATAGATCAACTGTAGAGCACGGGTTTCATCCCATAAGAGGGAGATTAATTATTGTTACGAGAAAGTAGGTTTTATCAGTTTAGTTTCTATTTATATTTGATAAAAATTATTAATTGTTTGGGTTATTCACATTTTGTAATTGTACCTATGGCATATTGAAAAATAATGCTTATGTTACTGTTTTATGTTACATTTAAAAATATAATCCGTATTTCTTATAAATGGAACGATATATAAAAACCTATTTTTATTTTGGTATATAAATGAATTAAGTACTACCTGATATATATTAGTTTCTGAGAAATGGCGACTCCAAAAATCACTCTAGCGATTCTAATAAAATTACCTTAGAAAATTACGGAATAGGTTTTCTTCGGATCAATAAATTGATTAAGTGGGATTCTCAAATAAATCTGTTCCCATGCAATCCTAAAGTATCTAACATTACCTGACAGAGGATTATACTACCAAAAATAAATAAACAGAGGAATTTGAATTGGTTTGATCTTTCTTTATGGTGACATCTTATTTATTATTACTGCCTAACTAAAGTAGGTACGCTTTATACTGAAATTTAAATACTAATTCATTTGTATCTTTAGATGCCAAACTATTTTATAAATTGTGCCAATAGGTACAATGCCAGACGTTTGAAATCGTTCAGTTACTTTCCCTTAAAAATTAAACTAGCAAGATAAAAAAAATCTAATTGAATTTTTGTTATATTAAATACAGACGCCATAGTACTATATTTTGATTAACAAAAGATAGTTTTATGGCGTCCGTAGTTAATATTTTGTATATAAATTTAGAATGTATAAATAAATAAATAGAAATATTATCAAAAATTACAAAATTATTTATTACAGGGAAGAAAGATTTGATATTCGGTTAGTAACCGAGAAACTTAAAAATATTTAACCAATTTTATAATTATTTTACCTATAGAAAGCTTATATTATCAGCAATAACATGGGCTGTATCTTAATTAAGAAAAAGTTAAATAAGATTAAGTAGGTATGTAATTTGTATCACTCGTTAGTGATATATATTACGTATTTACTTAATTAAAAATAATTGTAGAAAGTCTACAGACTAGGTATTTGATGAATATAGTATGTACTCAAGCAGTATGGGGTGATACACTAGTTAAAAACTACTTTAGTTTATTTTATTCTTTTCTATATAAGTATATTTTTTCAGGTTTTACCCGAGAAATTGGATTTTCCTTACTCATGGGCTATGTATCTTTTATTTCACATGCATTTCGCTCAAATACTGCACACGGCCTCAATTTGTTTGACTTTATCCCTCGCAATATGGAGATACATTGCGATAAAGTAAGTATTTTCTTGAAAGCTTTTAGAAACTAGAATGAATTTATTTATAAAATATTTTTATAGTTAGATAAATCTGAATGAAATGAAACACTTTATGTGTAATGTAATGAAATCTTACAATATATTTACATTATTTTATTTTGTATTAACTCAGTACCAGTTTTTATGAGTGACATTGTCGGCGTGATTGAGATGTATCGATTGACGGAGATAAAAAGTATTATTCAATGTAGATTTCCATTTTAAATACTACTCTTATAACAAAAGTCAATTGTCATGTTGACAATTGATTCAGCTGTTAAGATATAATTATGAAGATACGGTTTTTAAAACTAGTAAAAGATATAGTGAGTGTACATATATATATATATATATATATATATATATATATATATATATATATATATATATATATATATACATAGAATTGTCAAAAATCAAAGATATATATTTTGCTAGTTATCAAGATTGGGGTACACAATTGTATGAATAAATAAATGAAAATGAAATATACGCTCACTTTTACATTTTACATATTAGTACGGAAAGCTTTGAACATTATTAACAATTTTGGTATACTTTATTAAAAAAGAAACAACATTTTCTACATCAGTACACATAATTTAGTAAAGCAATGTTTAACAAAAAATGTTATCAAAGCACTTCTGAACGTCGGGTGCGTTTTCATGAGCTTGTCGACATGTCATAATCGTAATATTTTTCCTTACATTATTAGGTAAGGGTGAAAATATTGGGCAATGAAAATATAAGGATAAATAAGTAACAAGGATAAAATCTAAAAGATAATATGCTTTAACATATTCATAAAAAATACCCAAGAAATTTGTAAGATAGGGACGATTTATGTGTTTAATGAACTTAGCTCTGCAGATTTCTGAAGCTTATTAGTTGTCATTAGATACATTATTATAGATGCGGCTTTAATCATTTATCTAAATATAATATTTTTATAAGAAATAAATGCAATATTAATATTATACTCAAAACTTGCTTTTACTTGATTGATTGTTCATTATAATAAGATAATTAAAGATTCTAAACATATATATGTAGGTATATATATACGAGTATATACCTATATATTTAAAAGACCATCAGTGTTGAAAAGAATTTAAAATGCCTACTTAATTCATATACATTTATATGTTGATAATATTGCTATAAATCGGTTTATTAAGATCAAACATAAATATTTAACGAAAGTTTCATTACAAATTAACCAATATTTTTTCACATTGTGCATATAGTTTATTTATAGGTTGATCCAATAAAGTATATCGGATATTTAATTCATCCAGTATTAAATTTATATAATTATGTATATAGGTATGTACTAATTATAACTTATTTATAAAATGGCAAACAAACAGATCACTCATCTGATAGAAAGTGGTAACCGTCACTATAGGCATACCGTGGACAGAATATTATTTGAATTTCGAGTCTTTTTGTTGACGATGTAAAGTAATGATTTCATATGGTCATTGCATTCAGTAATGAAGAAATATAAAATAAGTAGAATATTGAAATTATTTACGTCGGCTTTCCTTATGTTTTAAATTCGGGATTCTTATGTTTCACGGCTGGGTAGTGAACAGCACTGCTCTCATTAATAAGAGAGAGATCGAGTTCGAAACTAGTTAGGCATCTTCAAATTTAAAACGTGAGTGAAGTTGAAAAAAATAATTACAATACAATTCACATTAGTTACTATTCAACAAGTAGAATATTATACAAAGAGAATTATGGAATTTGTTGTTTGTTATACACGACACTTACATTATTACGTATGAAAAACATAGATCGATAGAAATCCTATCTTTTTTGAAAAGAAATATTTTCCTTATATGCGCTGACCTTTTTTCACCATAGGAGCCATAATGAACTACATGAAAACCCAGTTTCCAATATTTTCATGCCATAAAATCTCAATGTAATGGAATCGATAGCCTATCATCTATTCTTTACGTCATCCAGCTTTTACGTAGAATATTTGTTACGTTCAAAAAGATCCAATTAGAGTTATTTCGACTAATAAATTTTTTTAAAATAAATTTCAGAGAGTATATAATATATATGTATATATGAGTATAGTTTGGTTATTAAAATTTATTTAAATGTAATACAAATATTTTGTAGCAAAATTAGATAAGTGTATATTAAATTGGTTTCACTGAGACACAAAGTGTAAATCTCATTAATACGAGTACGGGCACCACTCTACGTTGTCTCTTCAAAGTCATCTAACATAATTAAAATAATTAAATTTTAACATAGTATGGACTACATTAATTTGTTAATAAAATATTAAAACGTATGGTAAACAAATGATAATTTAGTTCGGAATTATTAGTACCTAATACCCAGAGCTGACAGATATACCTTATTTTATTGAAGCTAAGATTTATTCAATGGATGTGTACGATAGTAAGTACAAACGAGTACGCACTAGGTAATAAATGTATAAAAATGTTGTTCAACTACGTCACATAATCTTTATAATAAAATAACAATAAACTATGTTAAAATATTAAATTACGTTTTTAAATATCTGATGTTCAATACAGCTCCATTAAAATACATATTTAGTTGTAGGATGCATAAAATCAATTGTCAATATCCTTTCGGGAATAAGATATTATGAAATGAAAGGATAAAAAAGAAATAAGAGAATTGATAAAATTCTAATTATTAAACCTAATTGTCGCTTAAAATTACAATTTTTCTTTAATGTTAGTCCGGATTTCCAATTAGAAGCAGATTTAAAACAATGATTTAGTTTTTATAAGACCTTTCAATGTTACAGACTTTGTAATAATCTTAAAACTTCGGCTATTACAACATTTTCTGCTTAATAAATCAAATCTTATTAATTGAAAATTTGGAGAACCAGTATAAGTTTTATAAAAGTCAGTATAATTTATAAGTAGTGTGATTATGTAGTACCTGATAACTGATTAAAGAACCTTTCGACCTTTATAAAAACTTTAATATAGACTATTAATTTATAATATCCTCTTGCAAAGAAAAAAATATGTATAGAGGGTAAACTTAATCCCTGATTGGATTTTTTATCAATTTCTATCATACAGCAATAAAAGACGGAGCATGTGCTAGTAAATTATATATATATCTCCATACAAAAATTGTAATCTGATATTAAAAAAAAATAAATATATTTTAAATTGTTGCTTTGATTAAGACCAAGGACTTAGTTCAATATATTGTAGGTATATCAAATTTAGAATTTAATTAAGTTTTCTTTGTATTTCTCTTACAACAAATTTATATGAGATTTTTCCCTCAAGGGATAAGTCTGCCTTCATACCATCTTAACATGACTTATTTTCTTTTTGTACCTATTATTAATTTCTGTATGTATATTTCACAAGTGTTTAAATATAATAAAGTCTTTTCTTACAGATATTCCGACAGAAGTCACATTTTATGTACAGAAAGGCGTTGCAGTATAGCTATACTCACCAGTTTCATACTGCCTCCGATATTATGTACGCCTACGTTCATGGTGAGTTTCTTATACGTGATGTTGAATAATTAATATGCAAATCAAGTTTGTAGTTTATCATTTTATAAACAAAATTATAATTTTAGTATTTCAAGTAGTTGATATTTTTAACACACAATTGTCTTTTTTGTATTTTTTAAACGAATAAATAGACAGATAGACTGATAGATATACATATATATAGACATAATGAATAATCGTAGTAGTAGGTGGAAAACTAAATAGGTACATAATTAATTTTTTGTAAATCCGAGATAATCCTGATATTTTTCCTTGTATTGTACTAAATATCAATTTACTAGAAGACAAGATCGAACTGTAAAATATCATTTTTTATTGGTAAATCGTCAACAAAGCAAAAAATAATTTATTAATATAGAACATTTTTGATTACATTGTGTTAATTTTTTAACCCTATTGTTCGTGCATCGTTTAGACGATAGGGTTAAGTAAAGAGATTTATCGACTGTTTTAAATAAATTTGTTAACAAAGTATTTTCTATATATAGATATGTAGACTACATATTTAATACAATTAATATTATTCACTTTGTATTACAATATTTTATCAAATGTCATGGAAAACTAGCCAAGTACGTTTCTAAATAATTGGTTAGTGAATAATTTTTGACAGCGTAAAATATTAGCGTAGGCCCCGCCTACTAGTACTTATCATTCATTAAAATATTGGACTGGTTTAGCAATTGAATAAAAAATATTTAATGTCTATTTTAATAGAACTACTAATAAAATGTAAACAAACGAATAATTGACTTCAGCATAAAACTGTATGGTGATGCCCAATAATTATATTGATTTATTTTTGTTACTAATTTTATTTAGTGAGTATTTTTATAATTAATTTTCTCAAACTATATATTAAATTTAATGATCATACTATAATTATTCTCACGATGTATTTAAAGTAGTGATAATAGAGTTCAGTTGACTTGATGAGAGTAAGAGTAATAAAGTATACAAAGCATCACTAAAGCTTTTTTTTAAGGCTAATTAATAGCGAATACATCTTTTTCAAGGAAAAAGTAATACAAAGCACTGGAGTTATTTAAATTTTTAATGAGAGCAATTACATATTTACATTAATAAAATTGTAACATGCTAATATCATTTGTTTTCAATGCATGCATATCGTCGTCAAGACGACGTCTGCTTTCCATACAGTATCAATTTACATCGAATGCCTAAATAGGTTCTTTGTTTACAGGTCTTTGATATTCACACAACGAATGTCACGGATGTCCATGGCAATCCTGACATAGTATACCACGTCGACTCGGACTATCAAGGTACACTATATCAGGCCAACTTTTGGGTACATGCCGTTGTAATTAAACTACTTCCATGTTCGATCTTGACAGTTATAAGCGTTTGGCTTATAAGGGCATTGTACAGCGCCAATCGACATCAGAAGAATTTAAGGAATTACAGCGCTTGCCCCGCCGCTGAGAAAATGGTAAAAAGGCAAAACAAGGCCGATAAGAGAACAGATAGAACGACGAAGATGTTACTTGCTGTGCTGCTGCTTTTTCTTGTGACTGAACTTCCTCAAGGAATCTTGGGGTTAATGAGTGGGCTGTTGGGGTGGTGTTTCTTCAAGAGATGCTACGATTTGTTTGGGGAGCTAATGGACTTCCTTGCGCTGTTGAATGGTGCTATCAATTTTGTGCTTTACTGTTCCATGTCGAGGCAGTTCAGACAAACCTTTAGACAGATGTTGCTGCAACCGCCTTTGGCTCGATTTATGCCACCGACGATGTCACACTCGGATTCACAAAACCAGAACACGTATGTATTTTTATTTACAGCGTTCTTGTTACGATAAGATACGCTGTGCTTTCTTCTATTATGTTAGTGTAATTAGCATGTTTAAAATATAATTAATAGATTATAATACTGTTCTTAATTGCATGTAAGAAAATACCTATATTTGTAAATGACACGACAGGTATAGTATTTTAAGTATGAATTCCTAATTATTTTCCTCCCTGCAGGTGCACGGAAAAGGTTAAAAGATAACTACAGCAAAGCTTCAATATAAATATGAATGTGAGTAATGTAACGCTGTTTAGTTTCTAAGATTACACATAAATAAACTATATGCCTCGTAAATTACAATTTTTCTCTTTCCGCTATAATATCTGTATAATAAAACACCGCAGTAAATACTAGCTATATATGTACCTATCGGGAATAGTTATAATTATGTTTTGCTCTAATGGTGTTGTGAATGTAAATCCTTGGAGAACATTACACGTATTAAACCTGAATATGAGCTTGAAATGAAAAGAGTTGTCTTAAAATATAAATACCTTTTGAATGCTTAAGTGAAATTTACATGTTACAGGTTATTATTTTGAACCGATCTTAAAAAAACGAGGAAGTTTTCAATTTGTCTATTTTTCGCTAATTCTGAACTAATTTTGATAATTATTCGTTCGATAGTTTATTTCTATGTATGTTGTATGTGAACGAAGTAACTGTTTATTTTGTGCAAGAGAAGTAAAAAATTAATTTACTGTACACTTGAGAAAAACTTACCAGTAATAGCAGTATTAAGGGTAAGTGAGATTAAGGGTCAAGTGTTTTCTACAAAATAATTTCTAAATCAAGTTACATAGTTCACATAAGCTCATGTTCAGAACAAACCGCTATAAAATGGCCTTGTTTATTATTTGGGACTGTTTTGCTTTTATTTCCTGTTTCTTTTCTATTTATTATTGTTTCTATGTCACTGAATACAGAAGCAATAATAAATTCATACTATAAATTAAATAGGCAAGTGATGGATGTATTACCTTCTCTTTGATTTTTGGCGTTATTGCAATGTGTGGGCGGCGAATAAAATCATGGAAGAAATTACTAAAATGTGACTTTCGGATTCAAAGATTTTGATCGTATGCCATATACACTCATATATAGATTCATAGTGGTAAATTATGATTATTTGATTGCATTTAACGTCAACATTGTCGATCAAATATTACGGTAGGTAAAAACTGTGAAAATATCTTCTGGCATCTGCACCATGCTACGATAGGTGGAATATATAGTACTTATACCGAAATGCGATTGCAGTGACAGCGTGAGACAACTGTTTCCAAAGCTTGTAAACAATATCGTGTCATTCTTTTTTATATGAGGTTCTCTTGCCTTCCGTAATGTATATTGATTGGACGATGCAATGACTAATGTACATTATAACAATTAAAGTACACACGTAGGTTAATGTTCTATAAGCAATTTTATATGTTAGCATTTTAGTTGAAAACGAAATAGTATATCATTACTATGGTTTCGCATTATTTTTTAAATTTATTTTTGTTCAAAGACAAATTTAAATTAAAGACCGAGAAGTAACTACATGGGCCATAAAGGAAACACTAGTTGTCATATCGTATAGGAATGTCAAAGATATGACCTGGAATAAACCTGGCTGGAAGAGAATGCATGAATTTGTTACCTTGATAGATGAAACTCTTAAATAAAAAAGATAATAATTAATGTCTTTTTTTATTTATAATTGTTGAAATATGAACTGAAACTGCGCCTAAAGTGTGCTTGACATAAAATCCTTGAATTAAATTAAACTCCATACAAGGGTTAATCTCATTCTCAATCTTATTCAGCGAATATTAATTAAAGTTAGATATTTTGCTGACATCCTAGAGTATACGGTATATAGAGAAAGCGCGAGGAAAACAATGTAAATACAGAGTATTTGAGCATTCAGTGAAATTAATGCAGTGACAGCGATATAATTCTAGTCTCATTTCAAATATACTGCATATTCAATTTTTTGTTAAATAATAGAATAAGAATAAAAAATCAAATAATAACTGGCTGCATTAATATCTTTTTGTAGACATATAGCATGCATTACTGTTTAACAAGTTGAGTGCTTCATTATATTGAAGGTTAGACTATATTTCATTAGTTACTAGAAGGGAACATTAAAAGAGTTAGTGGCGTCTGGAATAAATATGGAACATTCTAGACTCACTTATTAGACAAATATATTAAGTTTTATCCGATTTTTTTTCATTTAGATAATGTATTTAGTTATGTTGTTTTATTTTTATACTTATTTGCAAACCCTGATGTTATATTTCAGTTCAAAAAAAGCTCATCTCAGTAATTAGTTTATTACCCAACGGACGCTGACCCTCCTATATTAGTGTATGAACAAATATTGCTCTATGTATTGGATTAGATTCAGAAATTAACCGGAAAATAACTACGTTCTGTCGCTCATGTAATTTCTAATTAAATGCTGTAGATAGTGCTTGCTAGATAGACTAGTTCTTGGAAAATGGAGTGTAAACAAACATATTTTGTAGTAAGTTGATAAATAGATATTAGATTAAGGTTTTTTGAATGTATTGCTTTTAGTAATAAGGCCGCCTAGTTCTATTTATGCATGTCTTAGTTTAAACGCATTTGTTGTCATGCATGCATCTGGCAATTATGCAATATATATATATATATTGCACTTATAAAGTACAATTAATCCTCTCGTTTCTTCAATAGTCTGCTTCTATCTGTGTCAATTATATCTTGATAATACTATAATGAATAACGACAGTTGGTGAATATAACAACTTATATTATAAATGTGAGTTTGTTTGTGTGTTTATTTGAATATTCAAACACCTGAATTAATTTTGATGAAACTTGCTACACGGGAAGATTATAGTTTAGATTAATTTAAGTAGTACAAGTTACTGTTTATGTTGTTGTTGTTGTTGATGGAATTTTCTTATATCGATATATGATACTATATAATATAAATTGTTTAAAATCTTTATTAAATATCTGTCATACTGCACACCTCCGATTTGAAAACATTCACAGGCGTAATTATATATTTTTTATAAATACACTTAAGAATGATGAACCTGTTGCTCGTGTATATATTTTTTTATATGACGTATTTTAAATAATATCATATAATCTTAAGTTTCATATAAAAGTTTAAAAATTGTTTTCATATATCCATATATACATATATATATATATATATATATATATATATATATATATATATATATATATATATATATATATATATATATATATATATATATGTTTGCATTTTAAATGGTTATTTAGTTTTGATCTATTTGACTAGTTTAATATAACAGATTCAAACATTGTTTTCATATACCCAGGTTGGTATATATATAAAATGTTTATTATGTTTACGTTTTGAATTGTTTTCAAATATCTAATTATATCTGTATGGAAATATTCTATTTGTTTCAGTGCAAAAACATCGATACCTTGAGGGCGACGTAAACAGCAGAGTGCTGCTCCGGAAAATTGTGAACATTTTCTATAATGTTTAAAGAAGGTTTTAAGATATGTATCTAAAAGTACAGATCTTCAGTGAGGGAAAAAACTTTTGTTACCTATGTGAAAATTTACTCACGATTGTAATTAGCTAGATAAATTTATTCTTATTGTGGTCGATTTTATTAGAGCAGACAATTATGAGGTTGATGTAGTTATAATATTTACTTAATAAATATATATACTTATGACTATTAATTCCGATGAGATAGTTAAAGACATTTGTAGACTTGTTATGAATGATTTGCTCTCATTTTAAAGAGAATATTGTAATATAACGCAGCAGAGGGTGAGTCCTTTTCTTGGATTCCTATTTGTAGTATGGTAATAGTCGACAATGTTCCTATTTTTCCGGTCTCCGATAATGGTCATGAGCAATTTTTAAATATTAATAAATTTTTATTTGATTAGAAGAAATGGGTATAAATACAAGCCAAAGTCTAGTGATAATGTTCATAATCATTTAGTAGAAATAGCACAAAAAATATTTTCGTAGTTGTTGTGCCCTGGGATTTTTTGTACATAAATTAAGATAAAATAAACTGTAAAGGATTTAAATTATATGTCTTAAGCAAAATAAAGCATCACGTGAGCAATTTGACTCGATAACATATTATATATAATAATCCATATTTTATAAAACAAATTAAAATATTTCAGTGTTGCAAATAATTCGATTAAAAATTCCCCGGTTCAGACGGAATTTTAAATTTTACATTGTAAACTATTTTTTCTCACGTAATACAAATATGTATATTGTATATAAATTAATATACTTACGTATATTAATAAAAATGGTAGTCAATGGTTCAGACAACGATTACAGATTTCCAATCAATTCTCAAATATTAATCAAAGTAATAGATGAATAAGCATCATTATTGCCTATTTTCCTTGTTTTTTTTCGGATATATGTAGATGTTAGAAATTTATATTGTTTTTGTATATCAACTATACAGCATATATTTTATTTTACAATTTGTAATAAATTCTGTAACAAATCTGGTATCCCTAATTACGCAGGCATCAAGAAATATGTTTGCTTATATTTGGCAAAGTGTTTGTATCGATGATTCTTTACAAACGCCTTCATCTAAAAGTTTATAATATAATATTGATTAATAAATATCCAAATGTATTTATAAACTATCACATTCGTAACAATAGTAAGATTTCAGCCGTTGTTTCTTGATGAAGGTTGATCAGTTCTATGAATATTGTTATAGAGCTTCGGGTTGGTTATATAACTAAAACAATAATTGTGTTATTCTTGCAAGTCTAAAAATTTTATTAGGTAGTTAAAACCTAAGAGTAATGTACACGTATTAAAGAAAGTATTCAATATAGTTTACCTATGCATTTTAAACAAATTGTTTATTCATCCTGTTATAGCAGTAATGTTTTGTTGTTGTAAAGGTAGGTCAAATTTTTGAAATATACGAGAATATTTATGTATCAAAGGGAATATTCTATTGAAATAATCTCTTTCATTTCATTACATAGGTTGCCATTGGTAACACAATTTGAATTGTCATCGTTAAGGACTTATAAGCTTGTATTCGTTATGTTTCACTATTGTCTTGCTTTATACTAATAATATTGTTTTTGCATTATGTTTAGAATCAAATTAATAATATATTGATTACTTTATATAAAAATACTTTTTGTTGGCTATTCATTACTTTTTAAGGAAAATATTGTTTATTGGCTGTTAATTATGTCTAAAAAAGATTAACCTCATTACAGAAACTTAAATGCGACGTTGTTTAAATTGACAGCTGCTTATCATATTAATTAGTGACAGATTAAAGTTATTTAACATTTATAAGTAATTTTTATTATTATGTAAGATATTATTTAAAAATCTAGTCATTGTTATATAAAATTACACAGTATTGTGAATAAGAAATTGTTGTTTACACTGGGCATATACATATATATTACGAAAATTTTATTAGGAAGGTTTTTTCAAAGTTTGATTTTAACGTATGTACTTTGTTATGCGATGACTTTGCAAACAACTTTAATGATGATTATTAATCGAAAGGGTTTACATTAATTTTACTTTCACACTAATTTAATCATGATTTATATTAAACCGATGTATTTGAAAAAAGTAAATCCAAAATAATTGAAATGATGTCAACTATGATGACTCCAAATATAAGTAATGAAAATAATAAATTTGATGAAATATATTTAAGTACACTGTTAATGTTCTACACAAATCTAGCTCATTCATTGAACATATTTTGAAATAATGTAATAAAGAACCTGTTATAATATGACAATTATAACGGGTGACGGCATTTGTTTGTTTTATAAAGCTATTATAGGTACACAATAAACAGGTTTGTGACAAAAATATTTTAAAAATCAAGATTTTATAGCTTTTTAGTTTCATTACAAAACTCTGGGCACTACACAGAGCTATAGTTTTTGTTAAGGCAAACGAAATCAAACAACAGACTTATAATCTGTAGTTTGCGAATTCCTATAGTAACCATCTGTCAATATAATCAGACCAGCTCGATGGTATATAATATTTTATTGTTACAGAACTTACATAAGTATGTATTTATAAAGAATATGTAAAATTTCAGCATAATTGGACGCTAGCAAGTTGTAAAAAATATGGTTCGCAAATTTTGAACGTAAAGACATACTAAAGTAAGTTAAATAATATGCCTGCAATAAGAAAAATGTTTCTGAATATATATCTGTAGTATATTTTTTACACCTAATTATAATATATTAAAATGAGAGGGAAAATTAGAATATCATATACAAATTGTACTGCTTTGACTTTTTAAGTGATTCCCTTTAACTTGTATCTACCTATTCAACAATAAACTCGAATATTTCCAATTTAATTAGTTCTTTTTAAATATAAAAGCTATATTCTCATAGTGAGTAGGCGCTATATTCATTTAGTCTACATCGAATTATTTATATTGATTCATCATTAAAATAAACGCTAGTCTACGGGTACCTATTGATATATGTTAACTTTTAAATTTAATATATATGTATTAAGTGTGATGTTAACTAAGCTACTAAATAAAATTTTTGATAGTTCATGTCTAACTTATTACACGATATAGTAATATAATAGTCTTTTATGTAAATGAGTACAGGAATATGTATTTATCGCCAAGTTAGCAAGTAAATTTAATATTGTTTAATCACATTTCATCGAAAAAAGGCTAACTTTCGTATACTTATGATTCGTAAAAAAATTTTTTATTTGTATATAGATGTATTAGTTTTGTGATATCGTGTTAAAATCCGAAACGAGGATATCCGCAAAAGATCCAAAGTAACTGACATAGCCCGAAGGATAAGCCAGCTGAAATGGCAATGGGCTGGTCACATAGCTCGAAGAACCGACAACCGATGTGGAAGAAAGGTTCTTGAATGGCGACCCCGTACGAGCAAACGCAGTGTAGCACGATCTCCTAGTAAATGGAGTGACGACCTGAAATGCATTGTAGTGAGTCAGTGGATGCAGGTGAATCAGGACCGTTTTTTATCGTAGTCTATGGGGGCGGTTTATGTCCAGCAGTGGATGGATAATGGTTGCAATGATATTGATATTAGTTACACCTGTTAAAAAATAAAACTATGAAAAACATATTATGTATAGGTAGTTATAGTAAACGTCCTATATTTGATGACTTTAAAAATATATTATATTTGATAGCGGAAAGACATTGATGTGATCCAAGTATATGTACATATATCTGGTAAAGAATACAATTTAAGAACACGCTATTTGCAAATAAAAATAACTGTGCAGCGAGTTTTATATTTGCATCCGTAGCATGTAGGTACTAAATCGCAAGATATACCTATTATTATTATACCTATTATATATATTCGCCGGATTTGGCCCCGTGTGACTTCTTCTTGTTCCCAAAAACCAAATTGGTACTTCGGGGGCGGCATTTGGGGGACATAAATGAGATAAAAAAAGCTACGACGGGGCAGCTGAGAAACCTACAACCAGAGGACTTTCAAGGAGCCTTCTCACAGTGGAAACGGCGTTGGCACAAGTGCATTATGTCACAGGGGGAGTACTTTGAAGGGGATAAAATTGATTTACCTGAATAATTGTAAAATAAAATTTTTAAAAAACTTTTATACGAACTTTCCGGACAGACCTCGTATTATATATATATTTATACTTATATTATGGTATTGCTCTCATATCATTACAGACTGAGTCCTTGGATATGTTTATTGAAAGTTTATTAGGTGTAATAATTTATTATATTATTTACTTCCATTAGTGAAAACCTATTTTCTTATTACGTTTTCAGCAAGTAACTGTTAACTCGATATAGTGTTTTAATTCGGATTTTCCTTTTAGTGCACTGTGCGAAAGTAGGAAAGTTAAATAAATCGTGCTTTGTTCTCCTAGTCACGTTTCACGACTTCCTAGTCATGAAAAGAAGTTTTGGCATATTGTATATTTACTCCGTAATTATATGAAGAGATGGAATGATGAATAGTAAATATCCATATATACTCTTATAATATAATTATAACTAGACGTTGTTTGTAGATAGGAGATATGTAAAAAAAAATATATAAGGATCATAAGGGTAATGGCAGATAAAACAAAATTTCTTTTGAATTTTTGTCTGTATGTTTTATTGGTATTCTCGTATGCGGAATTGTGCTAAAACTAATACACCGTATTAGATGTAGTTTGCATCTTCGTGTTTCCGGAGGTTGAACTTGAAATTTGTTGTTTTTTGGTTAAGCCAACTAGTAGTCTATTGCATTGGGAAAGTCGCGGGCAAAAACTAGTTGAACACAAATAATTTTTATGTCGAAAAATAAACATAAAAATCAGTATGTATCGAAATAATTTATGGAATTAGTTTCTGAATCGATATTAAATACATTATATACTCGATATAACTTTTTCAATTTTAAATAAAAATATGATTTTTAATGAATATTAAAATTTTGTAAAACCTTTTTAATTATATTTTGCTGTAAGAATAAAAAAAATATGTCAACTACTACTGCTACTTAATCCGAAATCTTGTTAGTTGTTATTAAAATACGAGTTTGATGACCTGTATATTAAATATACCTACCTTAATAAATAACTTATTATATTTGTATTATTTACGAAATCGTGGAAAATAACTTTATCGAAATATATTTCTTGGAACATTGTATTATAATTGACTTAGATTCTGTATTTTTATTTGCGCCTTGTATGTACATTGTATCTAATCCTACTAAGTACGAATAGGTACTTGTTTGAGCGGTTCACTCACTACACGTTTATTTTAATTATTTTATGAAGTGTTTATAATTAGGTGAATTTAAGTAATTTAGGTATTTGTAAATAGACTGAGAGAAAATTTACAAAGTCCACATTATGCTTGTTATATGTAGTGTAAATATTTAAGCTTTTTATTATAAACAATAAAGTAACTTTGTACGTGTCACTCCTTTTTTTCACTAATTGTTTTTTTTTTTCAGTTGTTTAAATAAGAATAAAAAAAACATTTGATTAACCAAAGTCATTACTTGATAATTATATGAATACGTATAATGACTACAGAGTTTATTATGTTATATATTTATTATGTCTAATCGACTTTTTTCTGTAACTTATAACGGCAAACAATATAATGACCCACCTGATGGAAAGTGGTAACCTTCGCCTATAGACATGAACAATACCATAAACATAATACGAGTTTGCTGTATCGTCCATGATATTATTCGTGTATTGTCATTTCTGAGGACTAAGATGTCCTGATGACTATCAGACATAAAGGATGTTTTGAAAACTGCCTATATATCAAAACGGTAGTACTAAATAAAGATGTTTTGTATGTTTGTTCCTCAACCATACTACTATTACTGCCCATGCGAGGAAGTTCCTTTTTTTATAGAAAAAAGGCCTCTAACCGCTTACCATCACGATTATGTTTAAAGGACTGAACACATTTTTTGCCAGCCAGTAAACCGCATTATCAGCAAGGGATGATAGGTGAGGATGAAAGCAGGTTGGTTAGCCCCTCGTGATGAGTGCACCTGGAATTCAGCACAATAGTTTCTAGGGGGAGGGGGGCACGTAAAGGTCGACCTAACAGTAATGTGACTGGTTGTTCGTATTACTAACAATCCCCTCCCCCTTCCATAAATGGATTAGATTGAAATTAGACAAACAGATAGCCCATATAATAGATTATATACTAGTTAATCGTTAAATAAAATATAGGGCTAATTTTAACTTGGTTCATGCAGGCAAAACCAGCTTAATACAATTAGTAAAAATAAAATAGTGACAACGTTATATCATTTGTCAAAAGTATGGTCTAGTAATAAACCAGTAATAAATTATCTAAAGATAAATGAAACAAGCAAGTCTGTCTCCTACGTGAAGGATTCTTAAGGACCAAATTACCTACACTATTTATTACTGACTGTGCTGGCGATTTCGTTCGCGTGACCGGGATAAGAAGTAGTTTATGTCAAATACTTCATATTTGCTAAATGTTTTAGCATTCGATGATTGAATTTGATAATTGGTTAAACACCAAGAGGTAAGAAATAAATAAATTTACTATTATATTTATAATATATTTTTAGGACATGGAATGTTAACCTCACCTACGCTAATGGTATACACTAATGGGCATTAGTAACGGATGGTAGATGAGATTGATATCATGGGTGATTTAAAAAAAATCGATGAACCTTTTAACTATGTTTTAAAATTTGAGTCCTCAGAACAACTGATGTCCCTAAAATATAGAATTTTTTTTTATAAAATGCTTTCTGGGGATGTCAATTTCTCTGATGACTCGAAACTAAAACAGTTTAGAGAAATAAGCTGAAATCGTATATGCTAAAAAACAATATCATATCAGTTGGTCATTATGACGAATTCACTAGAAATTAGGCACTGAGAGTTTCCAGAGACAGTGTGGAGGTGGTTTTGACAGTGATCCAGCATCCACAGATTGAACGTGGCAAAATATGCACTTTTGAAAAAGTTATCCTTATTAATGAATTTTTATATTTAATCATGCGATTGTAATACGATTTCCATATTTCTGAAAATCAGTGGTAGCTCCGTAAAACAGCTCGCTAAGATATTGCGTTTTAGCATCAATTATATTAACTCTTATTATATTAAGTATATACTATTATAATAATTGTGTATATCGCCCATTACTACTATATTTTATCTTTTTAGTGATGTGTGAGACGAATAAATTGTTTATCTATCTATCTTATAATGTCCTCGTGGAGCTTCGTAACGACAAGGTCCAGATATCTTTCTTCATATGTATGTTGAGCACGAATGGTGCATAACCTTCATTTCTTATGTAATGGAACAAGAATAGATGTTCTATCTCTATTTCTACTCCATTGTAGTTTTATGTACGGAAAAAAAACGCTGTGAGTACAAGTACATACTTGATGCATATAGTATGTAGTACTGTAACTGTCTGGGCTAATTAAAAAAAGAGAGAGAGATCGTAGGATTTTAGGAGCAAACGCTCCGTTTCGTGTTTTCTTTTATGATAAACGATATCTAAGTGAAATTCATAGTTTGCTACGATATGGTTTTATGTGCAATTTGCTAGATATCATAATAAGACAAAATTTCTATTATTGGATAAACTGTTATGTGTCATGGTTACGTGAAGTACCCTACATCACGCCACCCTATTTCAATATAAGTTTTGTGTATACTCAGGTGTCGTGGAGGAAGATAGCGGCCCAAGGAGGCAGGTGAACCAGTTCATCAAATCAATGACATACCGGTCTAGGACAGCTATCGTTATATATATATATATATATATATATATATATATATATATATATATATATATATGTGTATAACGATTCAAAGTCATTCGTTAAATCTACATCTAAAATTTTAATACAAGTTTCTACCTAATTACTAAATTATGTATCACTGAATAATATGCGTGGGCATATAGTGCGGGGTCGAGGTTAGTAATATCAAAACATTCATGTTTACTGTATTATAGCAAGTAGATAGGTTTAATTAGTTCGAAGATCTGATATACGAATTTCTACGGGGAATTATATGACTTTGATGTTACGAAAGGTGAAAATTGGTTGAGTTAAACGGGCATTCATCCCAGTGCCTAAACGTTTATGTTCACATACGTCAAAAATTTCCCCTAACTTAATTAATATTCATTTTACGATCCTAAGCTGCGATATCGCCTCGTTCACGCCTCTCAAAATAGAATTCATTGACGATCATCGTTCTCGTTTCGTGCGTACTCTTGACTCTGTTTACTATTCAATCACGCATATTTACGCGTGATTGAATAATAAACACTGAAAATTTAAATTAGGCTAAACGATTTTCAATCAAGTTTAGCTCACATATACTAGATTATTATATTAACCAAAAAACAAACTTTTACATACCCAAATATTTTTTTTATAGACAAAATAGTAAACACCAGAGGGACACTTTGTACAAAACTCGTTTGCTTGGGCATCTCTGTCTTATTCGTGTTTCTACCGTGAAGCAGTTGTGTTTGCATGGCTGTGTTTCGGTTTGAAGCCTGGGATATGGCAGTGAATTTACAGGGTACAGGAATAATACCCGAGTGATCAGGAATGACAATGCATGGGCGAAACAGTATACTCCGTTATATGAAAATCACAGAATATATTAGGACTCTTTGTACTTCTTTCTTTGTATTATTTTTGAGCTAATCCTTTTTAATAAAAGGATATGGCTTCGTATTAAGTTATTTTATTATCAATTAAGTAAGCTTGCATAAATATCTGTTTAATAAAATTGGATTTACACAATTGCGTTGCTAGTGAAAACTTGAAGATGGTGCCCCGTATCAATTAATTTAAATGTAATAGGCACAGAAGTAAAAAGGATTAATTTTTAAACCCATTTATAATAATTAATTCGATCGTAGCATGTTTCGAATTTTGAAACTGCCCTCTGCTTGAGTTAGTAAATTGTTATTAAAAGATACAATGAGTTTGACATTTCTAAATATAAAATTCCAAATTGAATACAGATAATAAAAAAGCTCAGTGTACTCTGTAAATCACGGCGTGTTATTTAACAGAGTTCAAAAAACGAGGAGGTTCTCGATTCGGTTGTTTTTTTTTATACAACTTAGAATGGCAAACAAGCTTATGGCCCACTTGATGGAAAGTAGTAACCGTCACCTATAGACATGAGCAGTACCATGGATATAACAGAGTGTACTGTTTCGCCCATGATACCTCACATGCGTTGCGTTGCCATTCCTGAGGACTCAGGTGTTATTCTTCTGTACCCTGTAAATTCACGCCATATCCCACCCTTCAAACCGAAACACAGTCATGCACACACACAACTGCTTCACGGTAGAAACATGAATGGTACAGAAGTACCCAAGTAATCGACTTTTGTACAAAGTTCCCTCTGGTGAGTTATCTCTGCAGTTATCACGTAACTCTATCATTTATAAACTGATTTGAAAAAAAAATATTTAAAAAGATATACGAGTACTTTAAAATATACCTCACAGTTTTTATTAAAATCTGTTTAGTGGTTTAGTTATAAAACAAATTATTAGTTTTACAATTTGATGTCGGTGTTTTTATTTTTTTGGAAAAAATATTAAATATGAGATGAAAATAAATTGATATACGCTGGCGGGGCACCAATGAGTGATGATAGATGAAGATAAAATTTAATCAATTGGCCAATTATGACAAATTTATTAGGAATTAATTACAGTGTCTTCAAGTGGAGACCACATCGAGATCAACATATAGGGTTCATTGCAAAGGGAGCCCTCAGTCCCCATAACTAAACCCTGTCACGGCAGTACTGTATTTGCTCTACAGTTAAGTACTTACATTTCACGAGCACTAGCAACTGAATATAAACTTGTATCTTTTGATTCAGTTAAAAATTATCATAGTGTTTGTTGATGAAAAAGTTAACCCAATAAATTCCTATATTTTTTTGTAAAAGTTATTTTTGTAATTTTGTTATTTCTATTGTTGTTACTTTTTTATTTAAAAAACTAACAACAAAGTCTATTTTCACATTTTAGCTAATTAGTTTAATTCAAATATTGGTGTTCTAGGTAACTGAAAACGTTTCCAAAAATAACCAAGCGTATTTATTATGTCGTAATTATTTCACCAAATATCCAAGAATCAGTTCAGTTTATTATGTCAAAATAGGATAAACATAATATTGTAACGTTCTAAAATTAACACCCCTTCGATGTTATTACAAGTCTCGATGTTGAATACTTTTTATTTGCTAATTTTTACTCGCGATTTAATCACTCCGATTTGATATATATATATATATATATATATATATATATATATATATATATATATATATATATATATATATATATATATATGGTATATCCCAAATAGTATGTACAGTTAATCTGTTAATAAA